CCCTAAACCCTAAACCCTAAACCCTAAACCCTAAACCCTAAACCCTAAACCCTAAACCCTAAACCCTAGAACCCTAAACCCTAAACTTCGAACCCTAAACCCTAGAATTAGGGTCTAGAACATACAACAAGAGGACCCGACACCAGAACAACACCACCACGAAAAGAGACAGACACAATGACACACCTCCTCAAAAAATGATGTGGAAGAGAACAGAAAAATAGTCCGTCCCGCGAATTATGGGGGCGTAACAGATGGAGCAACCTCGTGCGGCAAGTTGACGATTTTGTCCACCTTCGCGGCGTTCTCGTCCATGGTTACCACATTGTTACAGGTATTTTTCCGCGCGCAAAAGCAAAAATTATTCGTTAGGCAGCGTCATCGAATTCTGCGCGCATGTACTAACGTTAGTATGATATACTGATGTTGTGATGATATTACAACAAATCGAGCACTTCGCAAAGAAAAACAGTTTCACGGAAATATGTCGAGTTATGGGTATTTTTCTCTCACTTGCGGGCACTTTTGCACTTCTTCACCCGCGTGCGTGCGATGGGTCGTCGGCGTCGCGCGACGACGCCGAGCGTGATTTCGATCGACGGTGCTTCTCGTCTCGTGTTTCACAACGGCTCGCCTTGAGTCAAACAATCAGGTGCGCGTAAGATCGAAGAACGCGTTCGGTGCGGGCTTGGCCTTTTTGTGCGCGAGCGTGCTCTCAGCGACAGGACCCGCGGGCCTTTTCGGAACATTCAAAGCGTTGTCTGTCTTCGTCGTTGCCGCGCCGAAGAAGTCCTTCATTGTCTTTACCTTGCGGAAGCACTTTGCCATGGACGCCGCGTCGACAGGAGTTGGCGGCTCGACGGTGACCCCTAAAACGGCAGTCAGAGCGTCATCACCATCGCCGTCGAGAAGCTTCAAGTTTTCCAAGTTTGAAAACTTCTCAGCCCACTGAATTTCTACTTGCTCTTTGACGTTCGCGAGGAGCGATTCGGGATACCGCAAACCAATCACTTTGCGCCCATCTTCATCTATCACTCGAACCGTTCGCATGCCTCGATCAGCCTTGTTGAATTTGTGCGCGTTACGATCCAACGGGACGCGATCGATTACGGGACGCGCACAGATGACGGAGCGAGGAGACATGCGAATCGCTCCCGGTGAGATCGAGGGCGGTGGAGGGCGGTGGAGGGAAATGGGGGGAGATGGAGAGCGGTGGAGGAAGATGGAGGGAGATGGAGAGGGGTGGAGAGGGGTGGAGGGAGATGAAGAGCGGTGGAGAGGGGTGGAGGGAGATGGAGGGCCGTGGAGAGGGGTGGATGCATGAAGTTGAACGCCTCCGCCCACGGGAGGCGCGCGCTCGTGCTCGCGGAGTCGTTGACCGTCGCCCAGTAGCGCAGCACATCTAGGAGCCGTGCGACGTTCTCGTCCGCGAGCTTTGGGCGCGCACGCAGAAAATATGTTGGCACCGACGTCATTTTCAGACGAAATTCCAAACAATACAAGGCCACGACGCGAAGGATGAAGCAGCTTTTAGCACGCTTGCACCTCAAGTTCACTCGATGGATCGAACACGAACACAAGACCGTGGGTGCGTGCCATGGCAGCGCGACATGCTCGGCGCGGCGGCGATATCGCCAACGTGGTAGACGACAGCCTCCTTCTCTTCGCCTCGCCTCAAGCGCAACGAGTGCCGTCGGAAGCACCCGCACCGGTGCGCGAAGGCGACGAAATCGCGGGCGGGAACGACGGGCAAGAAGGCCGTCGAGTGCGACCGCGAAGATGATGTCGTCAGCGATTCGCATGTCTCCTCGTCTGTGCGCGTCCCGTCATTCGCGTGACGGACTATTTTTCTGTTCTCAGAAACTCGCTTGGATGTATCGACAGATGAATTACAATGTTTTTCTGTTCGCATGGAGACCGTTATTATCATCAGCTCATTCATCTCTTCATCAGCCTTATTTAGCCTTTCGGCCTCGTGCCTTGGTTTTTCTTGGTCGCGGGCGCGTCGTCGTCGAGCGCATTGACAAAGCGTTCGCCTGTGCGTATTCCTGTGACGCTAAAAACGTGAGTAACTCACCACGGTCTTCGCCGACGCCGACCGGATGGACGTCTTGAGGCGCACATTCCAGACCGACACACATGTGTATTCTCTCCACCCCATCCTCGCCCACGTCGCCCATCCCCGCGTGCGGGACGGAACCCGCGAAAACAAACACAGAACCATTCGGTACGCGCACGCGCTCACGCACCTTCGACACGTCCTCTGACCACCGGTCGCCGACTGCCAAGTAGACCGAATCGTGAAGGCTGATGATGACACCCAACCTCTGCGAACCGGGTTTGAAATCGTAGTGCATAGGCTGCTCGCCCCGAGACTCCAAACGCGGCACGTCGCGCACGTTCTGAATCATGTACGTGATGTGACCCAACGGCGGGAACACGGCGTTCTCGGGGAGAAGGGGCCTGATGCGATCGACGATCCACGTCTCGTCCTCCACAGTTCCCACGTGAGCTTGCTGTCTGAACGCGCTATTGTGGACGGCCACGCTCCACCCTTTGCGTTGCCGCGGCATGACGACACACTCGTATGATCTTTTAAGCTCCGTCGACTTGAGCGCGGTGCAGATACGCGCCTTATCGCGATCGCTTGGCTCCCACGTGGCGCTGTTGAAAAGATGCGCCCACTCATTAGCCTTCACTTTTGACTTCAACGCAAGCAACCGCGTCACGTCCGAGTCGCTGAAAACGCCTTTGAAGAGCTGCCATCCCGGGTGATCTCGGCTCTTGTCATCACGGAACCGTTGCGGCGTCGGAGCCGGCGCCTCGCTCGGCGGATTCCGTCGCGGTTCGCCCCGCGCCGGGAGCGCGGCGAGAAACGCAGCGGCTGCTTCATCCG